CATTGTGAGCGCCCGCAGCCAGCCCCGCACAGCGCCCGGCGGGGCGGGTCCTGGACCACACGGCTGAGCGGAAAGGCACTCGAGCCAGGGCTGGCCTCAGTCCTGCTAAATGCCCCCTGACTTCTCGCTCGTTTTCCAGACGGGAGGGAAAGAGCAGGTTGCTGCGAGGGCCGGAGTCTGGGCATTGGTTCCCCTGCTGCTCGAGTCTGCCCACGGGGATGTCAGAGTTCGTCGTATGGCCCTATTGCTCCTCTGAATCCCCTGGCCAGCCGTCGCCCCCAGTTGCAAAGTTTGTGGGAAGAGAAGTGGGAGCTCAGTCTCCCCAAGCCCGAGGGCACAAGGGTCACGGCCAGCCCTCCCGCCCCCTTAGGTCCCACGTACTATCTGGCTGTTCTTGCAGCAAGTGAGAGGTGGGGGCACGGGCAGGAGTAACGCGGATCGATGGGAACTTGTATGGAGTTAGGTGAAGATGAGAGAAGAGTCTTCCACACGATTCGCCTTGGAACTTCACCAGACTTACGAGAGAATTGAGGGAGAGAAAAGGTTGCTCAAAGTGATAAAGAACACTTGCTGCTGCAAACTGAAGAGGACCGTGTCCAAATCTAGGTGACGGGAGGGGCTTAGGCCTCTCAGGCACGAATGTAGTCTCCATTCAACATCTTCCTACGTGACGCAACTTTATAGAGCAAAAAATAAAGATATAAAGGAGCACAACAGCACTGGACTGGGATCCCGAGCCTCCAGAGTCCACTTCCCACGTTTTAAAGCCCCCAACCGCAGGCTGCGGCGTGGGAAAATTCCCAGGGCGGCTTTACCCGGACGCGGGCGCGGCGCTGTCAGAGAATGGCGGGAAAAACCCTCGCGAGAGGGCGCGAGGAGCCCCGCCCCGCGGCGGAGAGGGCTCGCCTCCAAAGAGCGGACCGGAAACGCTCGTCCGGGCTGGGAAGTAGTTCATCCTTGGGACACGTGATCCGCGGTATGGCGGCACACCGCTCCGGCCCTCTCAAGCAGCAGAATAAAGCTCATAAAGGCGGGCGGCATCGGGGTCGGGGGTCCGCACAGCGGGATAGCAAGGGTGAGGAGACAGGGTAGGAGGAAGATGGGCTATTTAGCCGGTATTAACTGCTTTTTACTTGCCCAAACTGAGCTGCCGTCTTCAGCCTGGGCCCCGCGCGAAAGGCCCTTTTTAAGGTGGGCAGAGAGGGGTCCCTTTTCTTGCCCTTCTGGTGTTGGTCACAACAACCCCTTCTGATCTGCCTTCTAGGCCGTCTAGCACTGAAAACCCTAAGCAAGAAGGCGAGAAAAGAGCTCAGCAGAGTAGACCGGAGGCATCGCGCCAGCCAGCTTCGAAAGCAGAAGAAGGAGGCGGTGAGGAGCGGGGTTTGGGAAATAGTATGGCTTCTCAAGCGTTCTAGGAGGTTAGTTCTCAAATATGATCCAGGGAAGGGGCCTGGGACGGAGAATAGCCCTAGAGCACATGTCGGGCGCGCAGGTCTGTCTAGACTCGGCGCTAGAACATTTTTTATGCTCCTGCCCCAACCCCCGCGCCCCGGCATACGTGTGGCCTTTTACCAGAGGGATGCTGGTTAGGGGCGGGGCATCAGTACTGTTTGAAATGCAATACTGGAGCAAAGTACTGAGACACTGAAATGTTCTCTTATCCTTTCTACCTCAGGTTCTGGCAGAGAAGAGACACTTGGGCAGCAAGGATGGCCCTCCTCATCAGGTACTGGTGGTGCCCCTGCACGACAGGATTTCCCTGTCAGAGGCCTTTCAGCTGCTTCAAGATAGGGACACTGGAACAGTACACTTGAACGAATGGGGAAGTACCCATAGCTTTACACTGCTATGCCCCCACTTGAAACATCGGTGGGTTTTCACATCTGCAAGGCCAGGTGAGAGTATACAACAGTTTCTATCATTTATGTTTTAGTGGTAATATTTATTTTTTTGAGTGTACTGTATCAGTGCCAACCATCTCTTCTTACTGCATCTTCTATCTCCAGGGGATCTGCACACTGTTTTAGACATGGCTAAAGTAGCTGATACCATTCTATTCCTCCTCGACCCACTAGAAGGCTGGGACAGCACCGGGGATTACTGCCTTTCCTGCCTCTTTGCTCAGGGCCTTCCCACCTATAGTAAGTGTGTTGGAGTATTGGAGGCCAGGGAAAAAAGTGAATTAGCATTTGTTGTACACCTATAATTTGCCAGTTACTATTTCTGGCATTTGATACAGGAATATAACTAATAGGTTGTGGCAGACCATACATGTACAGATTAAACTTGGTCCCTTATTTACAAATTATCAGTCAAGGTGCCTTTTTATTTCTGGGCTGTCCTTTGCTCAGAGGAAGAAACATCATGAATTTTGGTTTCACTGTGAAATTTCTTTAGGTTAGCTGAGTGTTGCATTTCCCATTGATCTCTGGGCTCACAACTGAACTGTTAAGTTGTTTGTGAACTGCAGAGGGATTTTCATGTAGTGAAGCAATAGGTCATGAAGTCCTTTTTCTTTTGCTTACAGCACTTGCTGTCCAGGGGGTTTCTGGCCTCCCATCGAAGAAACAAATAGATGCCAGAAAGAAGCTAAGTAAAGCAGTGGAGAAGCGCTTTCCTGATGACAAATTCCTCCTGTTAGACACTCAACAGGAGGCACGGATGCTACTCAGGCAGTTGGCTAACCAAAAGCAACGGCATCTTGCTTTTCGAGATCGGCGGGCCTATCTATTTGCCCATGCTGCTGATTTTGTGCCTAGTGAAGAGAATAACTTGGTGGGCACTTTGAAAATCTCAGGCTATGTTCGTGGGCAGACTCTGAATGTAAATAGCTTGCTGCATATTGTTGGACATGGTGATTTCCAGATGAAACAGATAGATGCCCCCATGGACCCTTTCCCTTTAAATTCTAGTGTTACCAAATTCCAAAAGGAACCAGGCAAGGCAAATGAGGTAAGATTGATTTTATTTTGTGTGTGTGTGTTTTTTTTGTGTGTGTGTGTCTTTTTCGTGACCGGTAAGGGGATCGCAACCCTTGGTGTGGTGTGAACCGCACCGCGCTCAGCCAGTGAGCACACCGGCCAGTCCTATATAGGATCTGAACCCGCGGTGGGAGCGTCACTGCGCTCCCAGCGCTGCACCCTCCCGAGTGTGGCACGGGGCCGGCCCGATTTTTTTTTTTTTTAAACAAGCCAGACAACAAGGATTGATGTTCTTAAAAACCATATATTGTTAAAAAACAAACAAACATAAAACCCCCCACAACAGCAAACAATGTATATGTGAATTGTCAGAGTTTTCTGCTTGCTTAGGCCAATGAGGAGACTACCGGTTTAAAATAAGGCAATAGTCACTACAAGTATGTTGATAAGTCATGTTCATCCAGCACTTTGTAGATACCCCACACTGCAACTGGCTCTGAGTTTACAGAAGACACACAATGTGTAATTGCTTTCCTCAGATAACTTAATTGGGTCTGGAAAAAAACACCCGTAAAATAAAGATTGAGACAGTATATGGTTAAGGTACGGACTTGCTGTGGAAGTTAAGAAAGTAGACTAGCAACTAGCTTTATAGAAGTCAAACTTGATGGGCCGGCCCAGTGGCGCACTGGAGAGTGCGCTGCTTGGGAGCGCGTTGGCCCTCCTGCCGAGGGTTCGGATCCCATGTGGAGACCGTTCCCGCTGAGTGAGCGTGGTGCGGGCGCAACACCGAGGGTTGCAATCCCCTTGCCGGTCCCTGGTACGGGCACGACACCGAGGGTTGCGATCCCGTTACCAGTCAGTAAAAAAGACAAAAAGGAAAAAAAAAAAAAAAAAAAAGTCAAACTTGAGCTACTTGTTGAGAAGAAGAATATGATTTATTAAGTGAAGAGAGATGAAAGAATATTCTGGAAGATAGAGACAATCTGAACCTAGGCACAGTGATGGATTAAAGGATTTCTTTGAATTTTGAAGAAATCAGCTTGATGGGAGTGAGGTATGTAATAAACCTATAGGAGTGGGACCAGATTAAGAAAGGCTTGAAGTGCCAAGCAGAGGTATAGACTTAAAATACTAGGCAAATAGCCATTTGAAAAATTTTGACAAGCTTTGGCTTTCTGTTTCATCTTCTACATGAGGACTGATATTTCTGGATCTACGTGGTATCGGTTTAGATTTTTGGCTAATGTTTGACCATCACCTGCTTTTGGTTTTCAGATTTGTGCTACAGATACTGTAGCTGATATGGAAGAAGACCTTAAGGTCCTAATGAAAGCAGACCCTGATAGACAGGAGTCTTTGCAAACAGAGGTTATTCCAGATCCAATGGAGGGAGAGCAAACCTGGCCCACTGAGGAGGAGCTAAGTGAGGAAAATGGTTGGTATTATCAAACTTGTTTGTAATTCATTTGACATGGGATTGTGGATTTTGTCTAGCTGCTCACAATGAGGACACTTAGTATAGAGTGGGATAAAGACGTAGTTGAAGGTCTGTCACTTCCCCTGACCCCCAAATTCTGTATATTTACACTAAGTAAACATTAGACACAGCTTTGCTCCATTTCCTGTAATTACTTATGTTATTGTTTTATAATGAGCAGGTAAAGAACTCTGGATTCATTGCAGGGTTATTTGGCTGTGTAAGTATTGCTAGTTGGAAGGTAGCTGAATGAAGTTTAAAGTAGCCTGTTCTACTCATAGTGTCTGTTAGAGTTTCCTGTGTTTCCAGCAATATCAAGTGTCTTGCCTAGGTGAGAACACCCAGACTGATAGAGGAAAAAAGGTGTATAATTTATTAACACCTAGGGCTTTTACAGACTTCTCGAAGGAAAGTTCCAAGGTGGTAAAGAAGGTCCCCAAAGGAACATCCAGTTACCAAGCTGAATGGATTTTAGATGAAGGTGGCGAAAGTGATGGCGAAGGAGATGAATATGATGATATAGGACATGAGGATTTTATGGAAGAGGAATCTCAGGTAAGGAAATGGGTTCTTTAGCCACTTCTGTGTATAGCTGTAAACACAAGGCAAAGTGCAATCCTGATCTTGAGGGGGTATGTGTGGTCAGTTTCTTAGGAATAACTCTGTAGTTGCTGGGAATGAGACTTTTGTTTTATAACTTAGTCTCTATTAGAATTTATATTGTTTGGGACTAGTTATCTAGTAAGATTATTTTATTTTTAGTTTAATGGCCTTTGGGGTTAGAGATAGGTGTGGGTTTCTTTTGAAATAACTGTAATCCTTTATTCTATAGAGTGAGAGTAGTGAAGAGGAAGAAGAGGAGGAATGTGAAACTGTGACTATAGCGGAGTCTGTGCATGATGATCTGTATGATGAGAAAGTGGATGAAGAGGCCGAGGAAAAAATGTTGGAGAAATATAAACAGGAAAGACAGGAAGCTATGTTTCCAGATGAAGTGGACACGCCCCGTGACGTGGCTGCTAGAATTCGGTTAGTCAACAAGTCTAATTCAGTCAAGAAGTTTTTATTTAAAACTTGTGGTTCAGAACTATGTCAATATGATGCAAAAGAAGAAAAACACATTGTCTCTCCTCCTAAAGGGCTAACATTCTCTATGAGAAGGCAACATATACATACAGGAAACAGTATAATAATCAACAGTATATAATCAAGTTCTAGACTGTGGTACAGACTGATATGGGACTTTAATGAAGGAGAAATATTAAAGATAATTAGCATATACTTCCTACAGGAGCTAATACTTAATTGTTTGGAGATTTTGGGGGGTTTGGGTAGAAAGGCAAAAAAGTGAAAGCATGAAGATGTAGATGATCATGTATGCTCTGGAAACAAGTCTGACAAAAACTAGAGAGTTTATGTTGGATATTAGAATGGTAAGGCTATAACCAATGATCTTGTATGTCAGGTTAAAGAGCCACTCCTTGACAGGCACTGGGGAGCCACTGTAAGTACTTTGTCCTTTGTCAGTGAGAAGCTTGGATTTGGTTGTGAAATGCTTGTTATAAGCTGTTTTGGAGAGTGATCTTGGTTTAAGCTGTTAGGTTATTTTGAAACGTAGTAATTAGAGTTCTTTTAAGCTAGAGCCTTAACCATTTTAGAAGTAACTCAAGTCTTAATGTAGCACCACATAAATCTGTTAATTTCTTTAAAATCTCCTACATTCTAGATTTCAGAAATACAGAGGCCTCAAGAGCTTCCGGACATCTCCATGGGATCCTAAGGAAAATCTTCCTCTAGATTATGCTCGGATCTTTCAGTTTCAGAACTTCACTAATACTAGAAAAAGTATTTTTAAAGAGATTGAGGAAAAAGAGATTGAAGGAGCTGAGGTACCTACCTTCCCTTGTCCATCCTATAATTTGCTTTCATTTGCTACAGTGCTCCCTATTTTACTTCTTCTCTTGGCATGAGAATGAGTACGTTTTGTGCTGCCCATAGCTGAATTAGGGGAGCCACTGAGTCATCGATAAGAATGATACTATGAACAGAGATATCTGAGATGTTAACTAAAAAAGTTGAGTCTGGGTGGTGGAGGCATCTGTAAACGGCAATCTTGAAGGGTAAAGTTGGTTTGAGAGTTACCTGAGAGACCTGACACATTTGGAGAAATGCTTCATGATTATTGGGACCTTAAGGGTAACCCTGTGATTGTTTTCTGCTTGCTTCTGTCAGGTTGGCTGGTATGTCACACTTCATATCTCTGAAGTCCCTGTCTCAGTGGTTGAGTACTTCAGGCGAGGAGCACCCTTGATTGCATTTTCTTTACTACCTCATGAACAGAAGGTGAATTAGTGTCTTGTAGGGGATGGGGAGTTATGAAACTTTCCAACCTTTTCAGAAAAGTCTTAAAATTCTATTAATGTGACTTACATTTTGCTCATTGGGATGTGAAAATTCTGCTTTTCTGATTAGGAATCAGAGAATAATAGAGAAGTCAATGATGGTTTTACCCAAAATGTCTGAACCTGTCTGATGCATCTCAGTGATGCAGTCTCTGTGTGGTTCTGAGACTTCTCTAAGTATTTTTTCAGATCAGAATTTGAAAAAGTGTTGGCAACCTTAAAAATAAAGAAGATTTATGCCAAGATGCAGATCTCTTTTTCTCTTGGTGGCCAATAGTTGTGTATGTTGGGGGGTATGTGACAGCTCTGGCCTTTGGTCAGTGTAGGTAAGGGTTGAGGAAGAAAAGGCTTGAATTAGTGTGGTTTTGAGGTAAGCTGTGAGTGAATGACTTGAAGGCCACTGATTTTGTGGCAGATGTTGAGCTCTTTTATGTTAGATGCAGGAGGGTAAGCTAGCATAAAAGAAAGGTACATGAAAGTGCTGATCAGCCTATGTTTGGCTCAAATGCTAGTTGGTGGAGGTAAAGGATGAATCTGTGTCTCATCTGTACTGTTCCATTAATTAGCACTGCCTGTTCTTAAAGTGATTCTGAACATTGGTTTGCTTTCTTTCAGGCTGTTATATTCCTAGACTATGAAGTTTTCTTTTGTTATTTGGTCCCCAGATGTCAGTATTGAATATGGTGGTGAAACGGAACCCTGGCAACACGGAACCTGTGAAAGCCAAAGAGGAGCTGATCTTCCACTGTGGATTCAGGCGCTTCCGAGCCTCACCTTTATTCTCTCAGCACACTGCAGGTTAGCAGTGGTAAATCCTCTGGATTCTTGTCCATCTTACTGTCCTTTGGGAGACTGTGACTTTTGGTGGAGAGGGGCAGAATACATAGTTTCAAACTCTTAAATCTCTGAGTTAGAGGTATTTTTAGTACTCTGGCTTAGGAGCCAATGATGTTTTTATTCAAAATGTCTGAACCTGTCTGAAGCATCCCAGTGATGCAGCTTCTGTGTGATGCTGAGGCTTCTCTGCCATGAGTAGGTTTTCTTTTTGTCTTTTTTTCGTGACCGGCAACGGATCGCAACTCTCAGTGTCGCGCCCGTACCGGACCGGGACCGGCTACGGGATCACAACCCTCGGTGTTGCTCCCGCACCTCGCTCAGCCAGTGAGCGGCCGGTCTGTATGTGGGATCCGAACCCTCGGTGGGAGCGCCGCCGCGCTTCCCAAGCGGCGCACTGCAGCAGTACGCCACTGGGCCAGCCCATGAGTAGGTTTTCAATAGGAGTTGGCAGCTTTATAAAAAGGGTGTGTCAGAGTGTGGAACCTTGGCATCAGGTGTGCCAGTGGCACTGAGGGTGGAAGGAATGGAGGCTGGGTGTGACCCACAGTTGGGTAAAGCAGAGAGGTCTGGGTTCTGAGATGTTGATTCGATTAGAGTTTGGAGAGTGATGACCAGGGACACTTGTGACAAGAATGGTTTGTACTCCTACATATTAGGAGTAGGAAGATGTGTTGCCCACTAATTTGGGGGTTTCTGAATATAACTTTAAATCACTCTTAGCTCACTCAGCTCTCAGCAGTGGCAGGAGGAAGGTGAAGCAGTTTTAATGGTGCTGTGGATAATTTTTATTCTCACCAACTATACTATCTAAATGAGGGATTAATTCCTCATTCCCTTAGAATATTTTATTTTCCTATAACTTTTGTATTAAAAAAGGGGGTGAGGGTTACATTGAAAGTAAAACAGAAGCTCTAGATAGTCCTCAAGATTGGGGGTCAGCAAACTATGGCTTTTAGGCCAAATCTGTTTGTTTTTGTAAACAAAGTTTTATTGGAACACAGTCATGCTTTTTTTAAAAAATGTATTGTCTTGGCTGGCTGGTTAGTTCAGTTGATTAGAGCATAGCCTTGTAACACCAATGTCAAGGGTTTGGATCCCCATACTGGCCAGCCACCAAAAAAAAAAGTATCTTCTTGGTTGCTCTTGTGCTACAATGGCAGAGTTGAGTAGTTGGAACAGAAATTGTGTGGCTGCAAAGCCTAAAGTATTTACTATCTGGCCCTTTACAGTAAACGTTTCCAATCCCTGCTTAGACTAAGAGCTGTTGATTTAGTGGAGATACTCTTTCTAAAGCCCTGATTCTCAAATGAGGTAGGGGTGATGGATATCAGAATCACCCAGAGAACTTTTTCAGATTTCAAATATAGTCCAAGCTGGGCTCTAAGATTCTGCCTCTTGTTGAAAAAGTACTGATAGGATTGGGTTATATCTTTTTTTTTTTTTTTAAAGATGACCGGTAAGGGGATCTTAACCCTTGACGTGGTGTTAGCATCATGCTCTCCCAAGTGAGCTAACCGGCCATCCCTATGTAGGGATCCGAGCCCGTAGCCTTGGTGTAAACAACACCACACTCTCCCAAGTGAGCTATGGGCCGGCCCTAATCTTTCAGTTGTAATGAGGCAGGAAAAATTTTTGAGAAATAGTTGGGTAAGGAAACATAAGCTGCCTTAGCTTTAAGAGTTGCACTAATACAGCTTTTCACAGGCCTCTGGATTACCTATGGTGTCTCAAAATGTTTTTGGTTTTTATTTTTTTTTAATCCTTACTATGACAGCGGATAAACATAAATTTCAGAGATTCCTGACTGCTGATGTGGCCCTGGTGGTGACAGTATATGCGCCAATCACTTTTCCTCCTGCATCTGTGCTGCTTTTCAAGCAGAAAAGCAATGGTAAGTTTAGTTCACACAGGTGAACAGGCCTATGGGTTCTTGATAGGAGAAACACTATTTTCTCTTCAATTTGGAAGCCAAATGGCATGGAAAAGATGAAATTCTCCTCCATACCAGTGGAGATGGTTTTCAAAATATACTAATCACAGCCTCACAGTGGGTCTAAGGGAGGGGTGACAAACTGGGTTTTATCTTACTTGCAAACCTTAGAGTGCTATATTTAGGATTGGTTCTGGGGACAGGTTCAGCAGGAATATCTTTTAGTGGTCTTTGCCATGGACCCAGGAAGGCAGCATAGTGCATTGCTACTTTAAGGTTTCTCCAAGAAAATCTTGAATAGGTCTTTTTTTTTTTTCTTTTTAAGATGACCAGTAAGGGGATCTTAACCCTTGACTTGGTATTGTCAGCACCATGCTCTACCAAGTGAGCTAACCAGCCATCCCTGTATAGGTATATGAACCTGTGGCCTTGGTGTTATCAGCACCACACTCTCCCAAGTGAGCCACGGGCCAGCCCCTGAATAGGTTTTTTATTAAATGGACTGAAGCAATAAATGAAGGCTTTGGCCTGTAGACTGCTGAACAGCTGCTTTGTGTTTGCTCCTTAGGAATGTACAACCTCATTGCTACAGGCCATCTGTTGTCAGTGGATCCAGACAGAATGGTCATCAAGAGAGTTGTTCTCAGTGGTCATCCTTTCAAAATTTTTACTAAGATGGCAGTAGTGCGTTACATGTTCTTCAACAGAGGTAGGTATGAAGGAGGAGGATAGGATTTGATTGTCTTTGTGGTATGAATGTTAGGTTTACATTTTGTAGTAAAATGTTTCATCTTGCTATTCTGTGTGTTCTATTCTAAGAGGATGTGCTGTGGTTTAAACCAGTGGAACTGAGAACAAAGTGGGGCCGCAGGGGACACATCAAGGAGCCTGTGGGTAAGAGAATGTGGGATTTGGGACCTTGTCTAGAGTTCCTCAGTATTACTAAATGACTGTTGGGTTGGAAGTTCACTGCTTTAAAATTTTCTACTTTAAAAAAAAAAAAAAAAAAATGATGACCAGTAAGGGGATCTTAACCCTTGACTTGGTGTTTTCAGCATCACGCTCATCCAGTGAGCAAACCGGCCATTCCTATATGGGATCTGAACCCGTGGCCTTGGTGTTACCAGCACCGTACTCTCCCAAGTGAGCCACAGGCCGGCCCCCAAATTTTCTACTTTTAATTTGACCAACTTGCCCTTTTTCTTTTCAGGTACCCATGGCCACATGAAGTGCAGTTTTGATGGGAAGCTAAAATCTCAGGATACAGTACTGATGAACCTCTATAAACGCGTTTTCCCCAAATGGACTTACGATCCATATGTACCAGAACCAGTACCTTGGACGAAAAGTGAGATTTCTTCAACAGTGCTTGAAGTGGACATGGAGTAACTAATTCAAACGGATTCTGTTTTACTGGTGCCAGTTAGCGCTGTGGGGATGGGAGCCTATAGGTTGTGATTGGGCAAAGTCTGTATCTTCTACTTTAGCCTGTAAGTCTGCTACCCTTTTTTGTAAGAGACTTCTTGGCCTTGAGGTGTCTCAGTTGAGTATGGAAGTTTTTCTACTACTACTTAGTCCAATACGTCCATTCTCCATTAGAATTTTGATAACTGTTTTAAGAGGGGAAGATGGAAAGTTGACAGTGACTAGGAAACCAAATTTCCAAGTATCTAACAACACTGAATCCCATCTCTTCCTTTTCATAAATTAAACAGGAACAGATTGATAAGAAGCTGGCCTTTCAGCTTGCTTCACCCAAGTTAGGGAAGTCAAATCTACATTTCCACCACTGAGCACAATACAAATGTTCTTTACTTCTGGAGAAACTGTTTGAAAATGCTGAGACAGCACAGCGGCCACTCCAACACCAGCTGTAGGTTCAATGAGTAATTTCATCCTCTCCCACACCAGCTGGGTTGCATACTGTTGGTATGGAAGGGAGTAAGAATTAGTGAAACAGGAGAAGAGAAAAGAGTCTAGCCGGTTTAATTATAAAGGCCTAAGGACATGTGCCCAGTCTGAATTTTCTTACTGATATGTATGTGTGCTTGCCATTGAAGGGCAAGCCTTTCATTCATCCTAACTCTGCTTCTGTCAAGAGGGTTGTCATAAAACATTTAGGGTACCTTCCCACATGTCATAAAGTCATATCATTAAGTCCCAGTGGGTCAGCTGCTGCTCACAACAGGAAAAGGTCTTTTGCCTAAGAAGTTGCACCATTCTTTTATTTTCCTGTTGGAGCCTTACCTTAATTTCATCCTCTGTAACAGTAAAGACATCATCCACGAGGTCCCTTATAATAGGCCAGGTGTTTAAACCAATGCTGGATTTGACACCATCTGCTATGGTTTCTGGAGGATAAGGATTGGGGGTCAGTTCCCCTTTCAGTTTAGACTGGTAGCAGTCATCTGCATTCAAGGGTTCAGCAGCATATACCTTCACACTAGGTCTCAGAGCCTGGGAAGAGGAATATTAGACACCTTACAACTAACCACAGCATTGCCTGCATAACTAAAATAGACCAGGTAACACATTTCTGCCTAAGTAAGAGCCTTTTCTTTTTTTTTTTTTTTAAAGATAACCGGTAAGGGGATCTTAACCCTTGATTTGGTGTTGTCAGCACCATGCTCTCCCAAGTGAGCTAACCAGCCATCCCTATATAGAGATCCAAACCTGTGGCCTTGGTGTTATCAGCACCACACTCCCCCAGCTGAGCCATGGGCCAGCCGTAAGAGCCTTTCCTTTGATGGCTGTAATAAAAATATGACCTTCAAGCACTTTATAAACAAATTGCATGTGTAATACTGGCCTTCATTTGCCTCAGTCACATGTAGTTCTACTAGTAATCTGGGAAAAGGGTAGCCCCTGGCATGGACAGTAGGTTGGTGAGATCGAATTCAAAGAAAGGACTGTGAGGGTGCCACTCCATGTAACTGCTTTTGTGCTATAAAGTCATCATGGATTAAGAAGAGGGTAGTGAGGCACAAGTGCCAAGGGCTGATGGGAAGGAATGGCAATTTTGGCGGACTGTGCAACTATCTACAATGCACTATGATGTAAAATAAGTCCTCTATGCCTGAAGTAAGGAGTCTTCCAGAAACTGTTTTCTCACCTTTACTGTAATTGCTATTCCAGCAACCATTCCTCCTCCTCCTACAGGTACCACCAGTGCATCCACCAAGGGAACCTTTAGTGAAAAGAAGTGTAAATATTAAGTAACTAAAGCTGAACAGCTTCTTTAAAAGTAGCTAAAGAGGAACTAACTAGGCTGTTTTATTTTACCTGGTTCAGCACTTCCAGGGCAATTGTCCCTTGCCCAGCTATCACTGCAGGCTCCTGGTTGGGATGTACCATGATGCCTTCTGTTTGTTCCATAATTTTTTTTGTAACATTTTCTCTGGACTGAAAGAACACATTAATTTAGCTTATTTGGTTTGCATTTAATAGAGTTCCCAACAAGTTTGATCCAGTCATTTAACACTTTATTAACCATCTACTTTTTTTCAGACTTTGCTCAGGCACTAGGGATAAATGTAGAAGTGAATAAAACAGTCTCTGCCCTCAAGGGGTTCTCTTTTTATTTATTTATTTTTTTGCTGGCTGGTATGGGGATTGATCGGTTTATATTCTTATGTGGTAGGGAGGGGTGGGATAGAAGAAAATACACGGTATGCCTAAGAGCTATGGAGAAAAATGAAGGAACTTGTTTTGTGTAGCATAGCCAGGAAGGGCTTCCAGTAAGGACATTTTAACAGATCTGAACAAAAGCCGTGGATCTGTAGAACATTCCAGAGAGGGGTAACAGCAAGTGCAAAGACTATAAAGTAGGAGTGCTTGGCCTTTCTCAGGAACTGCTAAGAAGTTAGTGTGCCTGGCATGGCATGTTTGCGGGAGAGTTATAGTAAGAGATGATGTTAGAAAGATAGCAATGGGCCAGTTCATGTAGGCCTTGGATGATTGCAAGAACTTTGATTTCTACTGTGTATGAAATGGAAGACCATTGGAGGATGCTGAGTTGACAAGAGATGACTTCTAACTTATTAAATGGCTAGCTCTGGTTTCTCTTGAAAACAGACAGTAGTAGGGCAAGGGTAGAAGCAGGGAGACCAGTTAGGGACTGAGTCTAGGTTAGAACTGATAGTTTGAATCAGGGTGGTCATGGTAGAGGCTGTTAGAAGTAGTAGGATTATGGAAATATTTTGAAAGTAGGACTGAAATTTGGATGTGGAATTTGAGAGGGTTATCAAAGATGACTCCAACTTCTTTCTTTTCTTTTTCTTTTTTTTTGCTTGAGCAACTAGAAGAATAAAAGATGCCCTTTACCAAGATGAGGAAGACTGGAAAGGGAGCAGTTGGGGAGTAAAATGAGTTTAGTTTTAGACATAGCAAGCTTGAGATGCCTCTTAGGACATTCACATGGGAAAGTTAGGTAGCCATTGGATGTACAAGTCTGGAGTTGAGAGGTTAGGGCTGAAGTTTAGTATAGTGATATTTTAAGGTATGAGACTACTGAGATCATCTGAGTGAGTATAGATAGAGGAAAGGTTGGGCATACTAACACTGAGATGAAGAAGAAACAAGGGACTGAGGGGGACAGCCAGTAAGGCAGGAAGAACATTTGGTCAAATGAAAGCTGTTAAGATGATACTGAACACTGCTTTCCTCCTTACCTCATCACTTTGTTCACTGTATACTATAGAGGCTCCATAGGCTTGTATTGCCAGTTTTTTACAGTTGGGAGCTGTTTGGGGTACCACAATATAAGCAGGAATCCCTGGGAGTGGAAAATACATTTAGTTAGTACAAGTGAGGAGAATTTAGGATAGAAATTTACATTCATTTTGCTTATAATCAGATAGGGACTTCTTTGGAAATTTACTTCCCACAGCTATCACCATTCTCACTGAAATTAAGGATATTTTCCCACTCTTCTCTGATGATCCTACCCAGTACCCTGAGACATTAAGTACCTTCCAATTTGGCAGCATAGGTGAGAGCCTGGCCATGGTTTCCACTGCTGTGAGTAACAACAGCTTTGGGCTTCTCTTCTAAAGTGGCAGGAATCAAGCCTCTGATGGCATTAAGGGCACCACGAATCTGGAAAAGAGAGACAGTGAATTCATGTATTTGATTAAAAAGTTTCTTTTCAAAAACCCAGGAGCTTTTTTAGATTTTCTCTCCCTAACATTGAACATCCAATCTGTCACTAAATTGTATAGATTCTACCTCCTAAATAAATATTTCATGTTTATTTTCTTTGCTACTACCTGTGTAGCCTTCTTTCTTGTGAGTGAACCTCAACTGATCCTGCCTCAAGGATCATTCTCATCTAATATTTCCACTAGATTATGAAAGTGATCTTTTATTTTTATTTATTTATTTATTTTTTTGTCTTTTTTCGTGTCCGGCAACGGATTGCAACCCTCAGTGTCGTGCCCGTACCAGACCGGGACCGGCACGGGATCGCAACCCTCGGTGTCGCTCCCGCACCTCGCTCAGCCAGTGAGCGGGAACCGGTCTGTATGTGGGATCTGAACCCTCGGCGGGAGCGCCGCCTGGCTCCCAAGCAGCGCACTGTAGCAGTGCGCCACTGGGCCGGCCCAGAAAGTGATCTTTTAAAAACACAAACTTGAACACTGATTCCCCATTCTTTTTCTATTTTTTTTTCCAGCCCAATTTTTAAGACAGTATGAATTCCTTACTAAAACACATCTATTACCTATCACCATTGTAGCCATCCTAAACAGTTTCTAGTTTCTCTCGTACTAGATTTGCTCATACCCCTGTACCTCTCAGCATGGGGTACTTCTATCTGTAGTTCTTTCCCTACTCCCTGTATTCATCCTGTAAAACTTGGATCAAATGTCACGTGGTTCAACTTGATATCCCAGCCAAAATTAGTTACTTCGTTCCATTATTTCATGTATTCTTGTTTATATCTTTTACGACACTTCTCATCAACCTATTTGTTGACCAGCCTGTCTTCCCCTGCAAGTATGGATAAAGGACAAGGCCTACTGTACATATGCCTAGTAGATTTACTGAAAATAAGTGCTCAATGTGTGATGAATGAAGAGTAAATCATGGTAGAAACAAAGGGTAGAATGGAAGTTTTTTTTTTTTGTTTTTTTTTTTAATTATAAAAGCTCTCAGTTATTGGATGGGGGAGAAAAGGTAGATTCTGAAGTCATAAAGCTACCAGTTACCAGGTACTAATATCAGCCAGGCACAGTGCTAAGTGTAGCTTTCAGACTTTTACTTGAAAGGATCTTAAAGCTCAACTAACGATTCTGGTAACAAGTTAACACACAGAATTCTCATCCTTATGCATAGGAACATTAACATATTTTGTAGAAAAAGATTTTTTTTTTTTTTTTGTCTTTGGCAACGGACCGCAACCCTCAGTGTCGCGCCCGCACCGGACCAGGACCGGCAACAGGATCGCAACCCTCGGCGCTGCGCCCGCCCCTCGCTCAGCCAGTGAGCGGGAACCGGTCTGTATGTGGGATCCAAACCCTCGGCAGGAGTGCCGCCGCGCTTCCCAAGCGGCGCACTGTAGCAGTGCGCCACCGGGCCGCCCCGAAAAAGATCTTAATGTGAGGGTTTTAGCTAGGTTTAGATCTTTTGTATTCATAGGTATCAATGTGTAGCAAGTTGATACAAAGTGAATGCCTAAACTTAGGTTATATACAGGGTGATCACATTTCCCACTTTGCCTGCAACAGTCCAGGCTGACATTGTTTCAGTTTAATCATTATGAATTCCCCCTTTGATTCTCAAATGTCCTAGTTTGGAAATAAATGATTATAGTAAATTATTTGGACAA